GATATTTAGAGATCCTCGTCTTTGTAGTATACAATTAGGCCTGAGTGATATATGCTGTAGTAGTCTGTGCATTTTCTGAAGATAAGAATTTAAAAAAAATTTCGGATATCATGTAAGATATGTTAGCTTCTACCCCTTCTGCACAAGCAATATATTCTCATGTACATATATTCATTAGTACGAGTGACTCATTGTTAAGACTACCGAGAAGATATCTCCTTGCTGTTTAAATACTGTATGACTTATTGTTAGCGGAAATGATAATTCCAAGAACTGATTACGTTTATTTAAATGTGCCAGAGATAAATATAATGTGAGTTCTGAATGAACATATATTGTAGAATGTACATTTCATTATAAATGATTCTTTCTACGGACTTACAAGGTTTTTATATGTATCAAACGGAAATAATTTAAATTAAAATACATAAAAATGTGCAATTTTTGTTATGTACCACACATCAAATATTCGTGTGGAATACAATTCGTTCTGATAGTATACATATTCCCTATATACATAGAAAAATACATAATGCATATATGAATAAGTTGTGAGCATCCAATGAAAAGAAAACGTTCTTATAGCTTATCGTTCTTTCGAAAGAGCAAAAATAAAATGCTACATATAATGGTATCAATCCTTATCATCATGAGTTTACACCATCTGCAATAGTTTACCATTCATCCACCAATCGCACAAGACTATATGTCACCACTTTATTTTTGCGTTGCCAAACTCCGCTACACAATATTCCCTAACACAACGTCTGTAGCCGTGGCCGATGTGAGATCTGAGACGTCACGATCACGATCCGTCGAACAATAAAGGGAAAACAAAGTGCGTGTGTGTTCACGGAATTCACGGTTATCGGTATGTTACGTCTGTAGTACATTTCATTTCATACTAATCATATGAACGTAGCATTTCTTAGAAATATACTAATACTTTTCTTAATTCAAAGTAGTAGAATGGCACAAACAAAAATTGGAAATTTCATGTCTGGAGTGGCTTTTTGAGGAAAGAGAAAAGGGATAGAGCGTGTGTGTGTGTATGAGAGACATACTACAGTAATTTGTAAAACGATTGTGCATAATTTAGAGATAAAGTCTTTTCATTCTTGCCTGAAAAAATATTGCTAGTTACGTACATCGCCTCATTTTGTTCTCCTTTTCCTGCTCTTGATTACGTTGTTGCCAGATATCGCGAATGAAACAGATGTGAAAGTTCAAAGACTGACTTTGAGATTCCATTTCACGAGTAAACAAATGTATATATTGTATCTTTTCCTTACCATCTACAGAACTTCTCCGTTTCAAAAATCAAATCACAGAGATTAGTAAATTAACTGGCTTTATAAACTGTAACTGAATATCTTATTTTTTTAAGCAAAATATGTGTCACATATGATATGTAAACGGTAGCCAGCTTCCGAGAAAAAAATTTAATCATTGAAGTATGTTGTTGGAAAAAGATACTTTAGAAGTTATTTGCATTAATGACAATTAAGATCATTACCTTATATCATATAAACAATACATTAATAATACGAAACAGTCCATTTTATATTTCCACACAATATAAGTCCACACAAATACTTTGATATTCTTAAAAAGTCTTGATATACGAGAAATGGTAGTCATCAAGTTTCATATAAGCTGGATATCGCGAAAGAATGTGCACTTCTCCGGAAAGGAAAAGAAAAGGATCTCCTGTACAAAGCTATAACAAACCGGTTTAGCATCCTGTATAAACTAACATTCTCTGACAACACTGAAATGTTATTATAAAGATAAGAGGATCAAAATTTTCTGCACTTATTGTAGAACCTTAATTTTCAATGATAAACGATTTTCGATAACAAGCGTTTATTTACACTCCATATCTAATCATGACTAGCTTTCCTACGTAAAATGTTAATCAATAAAATATTTCTATCATGTGTTGTTTTCCATTGAACTTTCGACAAGAAATAATAAAACAAAATTGATATCAGAAGGATAGGAGAAAAATGCTAGTTGCTACGCCCTTGTCGATACATTTCATTCCCATGAGCATACAGCGTGTAATGCAACAAGAAAAGTTAAAATACGGGCCATACAAGCGGCAACGTTGCGCAGAGGGACGTGACCAGTATAAATGTATGTGTGTATACAGCTGCTGCAGCTTTTAGTGTGTGCTAATCGAGAGAGAGAGAGAGAGAGAGATAAAGAGAGTTCTCGGAAGTTCTCGTTTGTGTAGACACATAGGGTGCGTCATTTTAACGTTTATATAGAATGAGTGCGTGGAATGTGTGTGTTATGTATATGCAAGTTGTGTATATACTATGGAAGGTCCATGATATGTACTCAGTCATTCACAAATCATAACGGCATTGCAGTCACTCATTTACCGAGTTTAGTCCTGTAGAGTTCTCACGAGCGTACACACACCCGTACATTCCTTCTATCCTTTCCTCTCCGTCCTTTTTTTCATCGGAAGTGCGTGGTATGCTGTCTATATACGCAATGAGCCATAAATGTGCAACGCGATTGTCGTTCAACACAGAACGTTTTTATCTGGATACGTAGGTGTATTTGATACTTTTCATCAAGTAAAGTGTAAAATTAGATTGAATTTACTTCAGTTTTTACTGGGATGCTATGTGAAAATCATCTAATGTTTAGGACACTATCTGTAAATTTTAGAAGAAATCAGAGTGACTCAAATACACTTTGGATATTGTGATCATATCTCTCCACTCTCTGATAACGTGTTAATTTAAGTATTTTTTATAGATTTGAAGATACTTGGAAGATCAACATGAATGAGGTTGTAAGTAACTTCAAACATAATGAATTGGGATCAACATTGAAGTCTTCACCAAATGGATCTCTATTATCACCGGTTTCAATAACTAATAATGATGCAGCGTATGATGAAGTAGATAATGTGGATTATCATTATGAAGCAGCTAGGCTACAAAGTTTTGAAAACTGGCCTGTATCATACATTGAACCTGAGAAATTAGCAGCTGCTGGATTTTATTACACTGGTGAAGGGGACGTAGTAAGGTGTTTTGAATGTCAAATAGAGATACGTGAATGGGTAGAAGGTGATGTCCCTATGGTTGATCATCAACGTTGGTCAGCAAGGTGTAGATTTATTCGGAAAATAAATTGTGGTAACATACCAATTGGAGCAGACCCAAGTACAATTCCACCGCCAAGAAGCAGAGATGTGTGTGGTCCATATGGTTTAGAATACAGATCTACATCTGGTCCTGACAATCGTAATTTCCCAAGTGAATTGCAACTACCAAGTACTGCTAAGCTTGGCTACTTAGGCATAGGAAAGCCAAAAGGGCCAGTACATCCTGAATATGCTAGTTATGATGCTAGACTACGTACATTTGAAACGTGGCCAAAATCGATGCCGCAGACAAAAGAGCAATTAGCAGATGCTGGTTTCTATTATACTGGACAGGGTGATCAAACTTTGTGCTATTATTGTGGCGGAGGTTTAAAGGATTGGGAGCCAGAAGATGATCCGTGGGAACAACATGCAAAATGGTTCTCTAAGTGCTTTTATTTGTTAATGGTACAAGGTCAAGATTATGTAAATAAGATAACAGGACAGCACATATCACCACCTTCCATAGAGGTAAATATGCCTTTTATAGAATAAAACTTATAC